TTCAATCCTTTGGGAGACTGAGGCAGGAGGATCGTTTGAGCCCAGAAGTTCAAGATCAGACTGGGCAACAAAGCAAGACCTTGTCTCTACAAAAATAAATAAATAAACAAACAAATTTTAAAAATGAAAAATCTGGGTATGATGGTGTGTGCCTATAGTTCTAGCTACTCAGGAGGCTGAGGTGGGAGGACCACTTGAGCCTGGGAGGGCAAGGCTTCAGTGAGCCATGATTGTGCTATTGCACTCTAGCTTGAGTGACAGAGCAAGACTCCATTTCAGAAAAAAATAAACAAATACAGTCAGACATTTAGCATCCTGACTTACACATTAAATATGTTACCATTCCTGGACCCCTTCCTTATTTATATAGAGTCCTTTAAAAACAGGCTGGAACTTGAAAAGTATCATTATGTACCTAATAAACTTACTATTTTAAAAAATGATCATATTTAGTGCTGAAAAAGTTGTGGTGACAGTGTTATGTTATTAGACTTCTGGTAGCACTATGGATTGGCGAGTTTCTTTTGCTGAGCAGTTTGATAGTAGAGAGCCTGATTAGGAGAGATAATCATCTGAGACAGGAGTTCTTGGAGACTTTTCCTACGGTAGTCATGTAACAGAAGCAGAACAGAATATTCATTAGTGTGCCATCATAAAGCACTCTGTAGTTTCACTGTGAAGGCAATGTTAAAATATGCAAAACAGGTTCTAATGTAACTTATTATAATGGTTCTGATACAATGAGAAAAAGGAAGACACAAAATGGCAGGCATGCAAGAATTGCAGATATGCAAGAATGAGCTGCCCTATGGATAAGGACAGAAAGGCAAGAACCACAAATGGAAACAGTTTTACATGGGATTCCTTTTCCTCCTAAAAATCATGCTCTCGATGCTGCTGTTGTGCCATCTTTTAAAAAAATTTAATTAAGAGTAAGCTAATGAATGTAGACATCAATGAGGAAATGCTCCAATGGGTCCATGTTGACAATGTCTGGGGCATCAGCAGGAGAATAGGCTAAGTGACTATTTCCCAAGCAGTTCTCTTGGGGTACACTCATTTACCATGGTCCATGGTCTTACCCGTGGGGGAATCTCTCTTCAAGATGGAATCACATTACCCAAGTTTGTGAGACCTGGTAGCCCAGAAGGCCCCTTTGTGATTTTACAACCAGCGTTGGCCCACTGCACAGACTCTTGGGACTGTTGCATTCCATGCACTAAGCAGGTCTGAGGTCCATGGGAAGCCAGAGCATCAGATAGTTGCCTGTTTAGCAAGAGAAGAGAACAAAAGGAATTGAGTGATGCTATGTTTTCATTTGACACAACATACGACATGACTGTCAGACTACAGATAGCTTCATGCTGCTCAGTTCTCATGATAAGGACAGATAGCCTTGCCTGTGGAACTGAAACTCCAAGGCCTTAGCTACCTTCCACCTCCTGCATCTCTCTCCACAGTAGGGGTGCCATGTCCCTACATTAGAATACTTGAAGGTCATTAACTAAAGTCTTCCTTTCCCTAGACAGTGCTTAAATGGCCACTGCCAACATCTCTTTGTAGCTTTTCTTTGTATATTTTTCTACAACTGACCACTTTTTCTACCCATAAACATGTTAATATTCTCTATCAGTTGAAAGTCAAGTCCTGCTGATCTGTTTTCTTTTTCCTTGTGTGTTTAAATACCTCTATATTGATCCATTATGCATATAACAGAGCAATATTAGTTTCCTCATTTCTGAGTTCTATGGGCATGCACTTTACTCTTGCTCATACATGCTGAAAATAGTAGGTGACAGAATTGAGGAGCAAGGTGAATTTATATGTCAGACCAAGAAGGAAAATGGAAGCGAAGGTAAGTCAACAGATTGTGTTGTGCACTATGGTGGATTATTTCTAGGTACCCACAATATTTATTGCAAGTCTTTATAAGGAAAAATTAAAAATCAAATAAAAGTATCTTAATTTGTTCTTTTGTCAGAATCCACACTAAATGGTAAAGCAAGGTATTGAGGGCCCCTTGGGAACCAAGAAAAAGAGCTCAAGAACAGACATCCCTCTTCGTTGGTGTCAGACATGAGTATTTGAAGTCATATCAACTCCTATAAAGGCAGAAGTTGGATGAGACAACTTGCAGTGATGGTGGCTGTTGCTTAAACTCTGGCTCCCTATTATTTATCTTGGCACTTCTGGGGTGGCTCTGGAGTCTAGAAAGCATGTATTCTTTCTAGTGAACGATGGTTCACTAGATCTTTGTAAGAGTGGTCCCTTGGGCCTTAGAAACATATTTGGCCACTAGATGGCTTCGTGGCAAAAGTTGTTTGAATTAGAGTTAGACACCGAATCCAAGCATGCCCCACCTCTCACCCCAAGGTCTCACTTTCTGAAATTTGGAATTCAAAGATAGGCAGTCATTCCTTGCATGTGGCTAGAACTATGACAGGTAAACCTGAGATCTGTGGACAACCATATTTCCCTATGAAAACTGAGAAGCAGGGAAAGAAGAGGGCTGTATTCCCTGAGTTCCTGCCCACCTTTTGGTTCCTGGCACTGGGGGGAACTGGCTGCATCTTTGCCTCTGAGTCCTTGAGACACTCTTGGACCCTTCTAATGATGCCCCTTCAATTTTAACCTACCCTGGTTTGGTTTCTGTTACTTAGAACTGAAGAGACTTACTAATATATTCTGTACTTCAAGCCAATAACACATGAATAATTGCCCTCAAAAATTAGAATTGATCTTCCACAGGGGGTTAGGAGATTTGGGTGAAATAGGTATTATCTTCAAATTAAGTGTGTTAGGGGTATTTCAAAATCTTCATTAAATTTTCAAAATCCTTCCTGTTGTGTTGCCAGAATATTTCCTTAGATAAGAGACCAATCTGAGGTCGGTTCCTTGGGATTTGGTTAAGCTGGGAAATCCCTTCAAAATGACAGAAGCCAGGCTGTACTACAGTGTTAAAAGGCCAAAGACTGAAACATTCTAAAATGTAGATACTTAAGTTTCTCAGAAGCCTCCTCTTCCATTCCCCTGCTATCCCACTCTGCTCCTCAAATCCATGAATATTCAAAGGTATTTGAAGCCAAAATGGGCCTTTGAGTTGTTACTTGATATTTTCATGCATGTCCTGAGATTACAGCCTGGAGCTTCGCTTTGAGAATAATAGACAGAAACAGCTATTTGATTGTGTCTTTAGACTCCTAAATTCTATTTGCAAATCAATTTCAAAGAAGCTTGATTTGAGAAAGTAACTGGGGAGTTAATGTTGCTATGAAACAGTTTAGCTAAAATGTGTCACCATATCCTCATTGAAGACCATTTGCTACTCATTCAGAAACAACATGTTACAAAGAGAGTAAATTGTCAAGGAATCCCACTCATGAATTGATTGGAAAAGATAATGTATTCCTAGATAAAAAAGGAGCTCTGATTGTATGAGAAAGGGCTTCTTGAGACTTTCTGATTCTTATTAGTTGTTTCAAGGTGTGGAATTTAATAAGGCACGAACAACTAGGAAGAGAATAGGGAGTGACAGGCATAGAGCAGTAAGTGTAATATACAGCAAGAGCGGGGAATCTATCAAGCGGGAACACTTTCTTGGTAGAGAGAGAAAGCATTGCCCTGTAAAATGGGATAGCTTTGAAGGAATTCCAAGTCTTTGTTTTTGGACATTCAACTGTAGACGAGGGTTTCACAGAACTCATGTTAGGTTTACAGGTTATGAAATACTGTTTTCCAAATGGAAATATATGGCTTGCAATCTCAAAGAAAAAGAAAACGGAGGGAAAGGAATGCTTCTGGCCAAGGCATCAATAATCCTGTTATTCTGAGATCTGTAATGATCACCCACAGGCAGTAGCTCATTCTGCTGCCTTTCCAACTTTCTTATGTTTTTATTTAAAAACCTTCAGTTGTATTCAGATATGTCATAACAGGCTATGTCTTGGTGAGCATACAGGTTTGTCATTGGGAAAGGTCATGTAAGACATGACTTATAAGCTACTTCTACTGTTCTCTGCATTTCTCCACCTTTGGGAATCTCTGTTTTAGTTAGGAGAGACTTAAGTTATGCCACAATAACAAATGAGTCCCCAGATCACCGTGGCCTATCACAAAGAAAGGTTTAGTTCTTGCTAATGGAACACGCTCAACAAAAGTTGTCAGGGGGCTCTGCTTATTATAGTCATTCAGAGAGACCCAGGCTGAGGGAGCCACTAACATCCTATAGTTAACCCAGAGCATGTGAACTTTCTGGGGGAGAAAGATTGGAGAATTAAACATAGTTTTTTCTTTGACTTAAGAAATGAAACATGTTACTTTTTCTCATGCCCCACTAAGTAGAGCTAGTCACATGATCCTGCCCACTCATAAAAGGCTGAGATGTGCAGGAGTCTCTATGCTCAGGCCAAAGGAGAACTGGATGAACCTAGTGGTATCTGTAATATTATCTGCCATACTTAAACCTTCTTAAGACTTTGTTCCTGCATAAAGGCTGCCCTGATCAATTCAGCTCACAGCCATAACATCTTCTTTTGAAGATCTGTTAACACTTGTGTGTACTATTCATTTGGCCCTTAGCCTTCACTGTCTTTGATATGTAAATGTCTACTTATGCATATATGTGAATATGAATACATATTTGCATCTTTGTGATGTCTCCTATATTTGCTTATGAGTACCTTGAAAACAGACAAGCTATATTTTTTGCATTACCCATAGTGCCTTGCATATTCAGTTAGTGTGTAATAAATGTAGTTTATGGGTAAAGCTTGTGTTCAAAGGGCAGGAAATAGATAATAAGCAAATTTGCTAATTTTATTTAATTTATTCCACAAATGCATAGCAGCTTCCTTATGGGAGTGGGTGTTCATAACAAATTAATTAAGAGTCCTCACAATCTTCCTCTGGTCATTAAAAGGACTATTGTAGGCTCATGTTGCTGAGGGTCATGGACACTTTGTGATCTAATACCTTCAATTTCCTGGCTTCTGCTCATGTAGGAGGAAAAGAAAAGGAGGCAAACTGAAGAGAAGGGACCCAATAGTTGTGGCAAATAATTTCAACAGTGAATGGGGAAAGAAAAGAGGAAAAATCACAGGAACCTAGTTACTCATCAAGCATGGGAAGGGAGACTGCAATAATGGATGACTTGGTGTTTGTGATGAAAGAATCTTACAGCCTGAGTGGTAAGATAATTATATCTCCTGATAATTATGAGAGACAGAACTAAATATATAAAGTAGCTTGTCTCATCTGTAGGCTTGCCCATAGGCAAAGCTGGAAAAACCCTCTGGGTTAGTTACCTATTGCTGCATAACAAATTATGCCAAAACTCAACTGCTTAAAACTGCAGTAAACATTTACTGTCTCATGTTATTTTGGTGAGTTAGGAATTTGGGACAGGCTTAGTGGGGTGGTTCTGGCTCTACAGTCATCTGAAGACTTGACTGGGACTGTAAGATCCACTTCTAAGGTACTGCGTGCCTGGCAGCTTGATGGAGAGCATTGGAGGGAGGCCTCAGTTCCTCCCCATGGGGGCCTCTCCCTTGGCTGCTTGAGTAACTTCATAGTATAGTGACTGGCTTCCTCCAGAGACAGCCATTCAAGATAGAGAACAGGGTGAAAGCTTTAAGGACTCATGGCTCTTCTGACCTAGCCACAGAAGTCATACATTTCTGCACATCTCATTGCTTACACAGATCAGCCCTCTTGCACATGGAAAATGACTTCACAAGTGTGAATACCAAGAGGCAAAACTTTAGGGGCTGGGTACCACATCCTCTACATTTTTGTAGAAGGAGACTCAGATTAAAAATAAATCTCAAGTACATTCCTTCCAGAGATTGAAGAGAAGAAGTTGTAGAAAGAGGAACCCTCAGTCTATTTGTGGCAGGAGTTTGGAGCCTTTGGGAACAGATGACAGGCACCTCTGATTCAGGGCCTCCGTCTGAGCAGACTTCTTCTTTCCTGCTTGTTGAATGCTTCCCCGAGTCACTTCTTAGTTGCTGCTAGAACAGGAGAATTTTGACAATTTTAAAAAAATCTACAATTGTGTGTGAAAGAAATCTGATCTCCCTTTAAGTATATCCTATCCATGGAAAACTTAACTGTCCGGTCTACATACTCTACTTCTCTGAGTAGCAGTAGAGCTGCTTAAGAAGAAATAGATGTTTCTCAAGTGTTATCCCCGAAAAGATGTGCCCCCTCTTTGCTTCAGCCTTGTCACAGCCCTCCCTTTTAGGGAAAAATGAGAATAAGCATGCCTGTCTCACAGGGAGTCATGAGCCTTAAGTAGCATAACAAATACGAAATGCCTAGCACAGGGCCCAAGATAGAGCTGGGGCCTAGTACAAACTGGGTCCTGTCTCCATAGAGAGTCTCTTGGTATAGAATCTCTTCATACTCAGAGGAATGAAATACATACAAATGATTAAAATGAAAATTCAGACTCTTATAAGTCTGAATTTAATTACACAATTTTAAAATAAACTGAATTTTATTAGGCATGTCTAACAAATCACTACTTTTATCTAAATAAGTAGTTCATTTTTTTCTCAACAAATATTCCTGCAGTGATTGACATGTCTGATACATGTGCTGACTGGCCACTGGCCTCATATGGCTGTTGAGCACTTGAAATGGGCTAATGGGACTGAGAAAATAAATTTATTTAATTTTACCTTATTTAAATTTAAATAGCCACATATAATTAGTGGACACCACATTCAACAGCATAGGCTAAAATGCTAAATACCTATGATTTTTTTCAACATCAGACAGAAATGGGAGAATTTTTGAATTTTTTGGTCAGCACATGCCTTCCCTCTTATGTACCTTATTTATTTATTTTAGGGGGTCCTTTATTTGAGCAGTTGGTTTGTTGCTATTGAAAATTTTTCTCAAAGCCAACATGTAGATTTATCCCCTATTTTATTTTATTATGATTTATTTCTATTTTATTGTGAACTAAGGCGATTCAGAAGCCGAGCAGTGTCTCTGTGGTTGTGGATATGAAGAGCTTTGTAGATAGAAGACAGCTGGATTCTTACATGCATCTGCCCTTTATCCTCATTTCCTTGGAGTTAATCGAATCTTTTAGGGTTTTGATGTATTTTCAAAGGGTGCTTTCTAAGTTGTATTAATAAGAGTCATTATACTTGAGGGCTATACACTGGGTCCCTAAGGGTGTCCACTAATATCCCCTAAAACAATGTTAAAAATGATACGCGAGTTGCTGAAGATGATTTACCTTATGCTCTTGAATAGGTTCTTTTGATAGCTTTAGAATGAAATTCAAACGACAGAGAGGTTCAAGTCTTTCAAGTCAGGACAACTTAGCCTCCAACCTCATCTGCCACCCCTCCTTGCCAATACAGGGCCCTGTTCCACAATATGCCACACCATCCACTTTCTTCCTGAATCTCTGGCTTTACCAATGCAGTTTCTTCTACTGGCTTCTCTTTTTCTTGGTGAAGGTATTCATTCCAAATCTCAGCCCTTTTGTGAGACCTCCTCACCCTTCTGCAATGAGAGACAGCACAATGAAGTGTTTAAAACAATGGGCTCTAAAGTTGGACCTCCTGTGTTAAAATTCTAGCTCCACCACTTACGGATAGTAATTTAGGCTGGTTTCTTCACCTGCCCATACCTCAGCTTCTTCATCTGCAAGATGGTATGCGTCATGGGTCTATCTCTGCTGTGGTTTGGCTGTGTCCTCACCCAAATCTCATCTTGAATTGTACCTACCATAATCCCCATGTGTCATGGGAGGGACCCAGTGGGTAGGAGGTAATTGAATCATGGGGGCAGGTTTTTCCCATGCTGTTCTCATGATTAAGTCTCACGAGATCTGATGGTTTTATAAAGGGTAGTTCTTCTGCACATGCCCTCTTGCCTGCCACCATGTGAGATGTACCTTTGCTCCTCCTTCACCTTCCAACATGATTGTGAGGCCTTCTCAGCCATGTGTGAACTGTGAGTCCATTAAACCTCTTTTTCTTTATAAATTATCCCATCTTGGGTATTTCTTCATAGCAGTATGAAAATGGACTAATACAGTCTCATAGGCTTGTTGTGAAGGGAAGTGAGACAAGTACTCAATAGATGTCAGCTGTAATTATTATTCTGTACTCCCTTATTCATACTTTTATTCATACTTTTATAATGGTGATATTAATACCTTTATTATGTTATCTGCATTATTGTTGAATGTACATGTTTCTGTCCTCCACTTCCATTAAGAGCTGTTAGAAACAGAGGATAATATCTATTTCACTATTGTATCCTTAATACCTCACCCAGGGACTGTCAAAGAGGAGGTGCTTTATACATATTTTTAACAAATGAATGGAAATATGAGTGCATTAATTTATTCTACTAATGAGCACCCATTAAGTGTTTAGTAAACCCGAGATTGATAAACCCTTTCTCTTCTGTGAAATTTAATGCATAATGGTTTATTAGTCTTCTATTGCTGCCATAACAAATTATGATGAATTTAGTGACTTAAAACAACACACATTTATTATCTGGAGGTCAGAAGCCTGATACAAGTCTCACTGGGCTAAAATCGAAGTGTCAGCAGTGCTGTGTTTCTTACTGGAGACTGCGGAAACACCTACTTCCAAACTCACTCAGGTTATTGGCAGAATTCAGTTCTTTGTGGTTGTAGGACTGAAGTCCCTGTTTTCTTTCTGGCTGTTAGGCAGGGATTCACCCTTAGCTCCCTCAGGCCTCTTTCTGGTGCTCACACGGAGCCTCCTACATTTTAGAACCATCAATGATGCATCTTATGTTTTTCTTTCTTGTGCTTGGAATCTGACGTTCCCTCTGCAGCACAGCTCCTGCATCCTCTTCTGCTTTCTCACTCTGACTGATTCTTCCACCTTCCACTTATGCTTTTACAACCTCATGTGACTAGGGTAGACATACCCAGATAATTCAAGATAACTTTCCTGTGTTAAAGTCGGTTGACTAGTCACCTTGATACGTCTGCTAAGTCTCTTCATGGCAGCACCTAATTTAGTGTCTAGTTAGATAATCAGGGATGGGAATCTTTTTTTTGTTTGTTTTTTTGAGAGGGAGTTTCACTCTGTTGCCCAAGCTGGAACGCAATGGTGCAGTCTTGGCTCACTGCAACCTCTGCCTCCTGGGTTCAAGCAATTCTCCTGCCTCAGCCTCCCAAGTAGCTGGGATTACAGGCACTCACCACCACTCCTGGCTAAGTTTTGTGTTTTTAGTAGAGACGGGGTTTCACCATGTTGGCCAGGCTGGTCTTCAACTCCTGACCTCAAGTGACTCACCTGCCTCAGCCTCCCAAAGTGTTGGAATTACAGGTGTGAGCCACCATACTCAGCCCAGGGATGGGAATCTTGCAGGGACATCTTTAGAAGTCTGCCTATCGCAATGGTCAATTAATGACTGTGTTTAAGCTGTTCAAAAAATCCATCATATTTCGGCTGGGTGCAATGGCCCATGACTGTAATACCAGCACTTTGGGAGGCCTAGGCAAGAGAATTCCTTGAGGCCAGGAGTTTGAGACCAGCTATGATCTCGCTGCTGCACTCCAGCCTGGACAATAGAACAAGACCCTGTCTCAAAACACACACACACACACACACACACACACACTCCATATTTTTATTTACCTTTCATCTCTATGACGGTGGCGATTATATCTGTTTTATTTACCAAGTTATACTCAGCCCAGTGCTTGCTTATCTCATGGTAGATATTCTACAAACATTTATTAGACACATGGAAATTCCTAGACCCAGATATTTGGGTTTGTTTTTGTTTTAATCATTTTATTGTAGTTTACCAAAGTGATCAAACCAGCTTTTTTTTTTTTTTTTTTGAGACCGAGTCTTGCTCTGACGCCCAGTGTGGTGACACGATCTCAGCTCACTGCAAGCTCTGCCTCCCAGGTTCATGCCATTCTCCTGCCTCAGCCTCCTGAGTAGCTGGGACTATACAAACCAGCTTTTTTAAAAAAATGATTATATTTATTTTGGTTCTTACTTTGTTTTTCAGTCTCCTATAACTTTGGGTTTATGGCTTGATCCCTTACCTTTTCTCTAATTTTAGTGTCTTTTCACTTTTTTCTCCTAAGAAAACTGTACTGGACCTCTTTTGGAAGTTTGGGTCCTTTTGCAGTGATTTCAAGGGGAACATGAGAGACTAGACT